TGTGTTTTGCATCTAATGCAGGAGCTGGAAGTTCATGGGGTTGGCAGGTAGGAAGGATAGACAGATATAAATGAGGGAGTGATGACAAGCTGGAACCCATGAAAGTGGATTGACACGCCATGGCAGTGCTCTTGTCTCTAGCCTTATGAAGTGGTATCCCATGAGAGAACTGTTGCCCTTTGCTCCCTGCCTTTGGAAGTGTGTTGCTAAAACAATTGGTTCAGGAAGTAGAGATGAAGTAGGATCCAAGGAAAAATGGAACATTGGTAAGCCTGGCTGCTGCCCACATCAGTGAGGTAAGCTAGCAGGGAGGGTACCACATGTCTGAGTTACAGAAGTGTCCACATAAAAAACAGAATAGATACTGCTTTACCTCTGCTGTGCAGATGTCACACTAAGATGTCTCTTGTGGCCCACCCTAACTAGAAGCATATAAGGAAGTGAATTCTGGGAAACATAATTAGGCCTAGGTAGGTTAATACATTATAGTGCCACCACAGGGACAAACTACTGACAAGTAATAACATGCATGAATTTTAAAAGTAAGTGAAGGAAAACAGTTACAAAGGTTACATACTATGTAATTCTGCAACAGTACATACTAGAAAAGATAAAACCTTGGCTACCAAGGTCTGGTGGAAAGAAGATTGCATGCAATAAATCTGATGAGAAAATATAAAATATAGCGCTATAACATATTCAAGAGATAAGAAAATACTGTGGAATCTTATAATTCATCACTACTCCAAAAGAAAACTGAATATATAAGTCAGTACCCATCACTAGCAACACCAAGGGACAAACTACAATAATAAATGGTCACATGCAGTACATTTTAAAAATTATTTTTGTATCTAGGGTCTCTGATTTTTAAGAACAAAAAAAAAGGAATTTCCCAATCGCTACACATATATACATATATATGTGTATGTATATTCCTGTCAGTATTCTGACTGGATTGTATTGAATCTACTCACTTTGGGAAGAATTGACATTTTAACAATGTTGTTCTCTAGTTCATGAACATGATACATCTCTCTTTATTTAGACCTTCCTTAGTTTCTCTCAGCAATGTTTTATAGATTTTATAGTTTCTCTCAGCAATCTTATTATATGTTAATAACTGAAAGAACAGATTGAGATTCTACCTCCTATGCTACCCCCAATGAAGACCACTATGTTTGATCAGATGGTAATGTTTTCAGATTTCATTTCATTCATATTAACATTATTCCTAGAAGCAACTAGAAGTTATTATTAATTGGTTGAGGGACACACATAACCAACTACCTATCATTGTTGATCTTTCTAGAAAAATGATAAAACTGGAAATGTCCTTTATCTCATTACTAATAAATAAAATATCTTAGTGATAAAGGAAGCTTTTTTTGATTCCTTAGACTGTTTTAAATTATTTTTCTCAAAAAAATATATTTATGAACTACCAAATAGGCTGAGGTGCTAGGCCCTGGGGAGTAAACCAACTGGGTCTAATTATTCAGAATCACACTAAGGAAATATTAATATCGTCAGGAATAATGGCTGCTCTGAATTTTTCCTTTGTGAGTTAATTTGTTAGCTTTCAGGCATTACTGCCCCTTTCATAAACATACTATTTCTGGAAGATATACTTAGAAGAATTTCCCGTAAAGTATTTCTCTTTCATTTGATAGCTTGATATTGTCTGTTCCCCTCCTGCTCCTCCTACCTGCATTTTGAAATAAACACTTCAGATATACCACACAAAAATTAGGAAATATTTTATGTGCTAAGTTACATGTTTTAAAAATAACCATCTTTAAGAGAGAGATATTTCTAATGCCAATTAAATTACAGTAATGCAAGAGGTAAAACAGCAGGTTTGTGGGGGAGGTAAATGTATGTTTAAAAAAAGAACCATCCCAGCCAATTAAATAAATTACAGGTAAGCTCCATTTTCTTCATCTGGTTACCAAGAATCTGGATATCTCTCTCTCCCCGTTTTTCCATTAAAATTTTTTATTTAATCCATCCTTTAATTTTGGGCAAAATTATTCTCATTGGAAAATATTAAAACTTTCAAATGCTATTTCAAAAGAATTTTGAGAAATATGCACAGGTTGCCTCGGTAACTCATTCAGAAATTGAACAAATTCTTCGAGGTAATTCAGCTCCATATTTTAAAACTCATTTTCCCCATTAAATATTTCAGTGGAAATTGCAAAAAATCACCTTTTTTTCTATAATATTTGTTTTATTGCAGATTTTTCTTTTTTCTTCTTAAAGCTGTAAAGGTAAACTAAGCATGGAAAGAACATTCTCTTATTCTCTCCAGTATGCTCAGCTTCTGTAGCATGTTAATGTTGGAAGGCACAGAGTGGTTGAAAGGAAATTGAGGCATTATTTATGTATGTATTATTAATATGTGTAAATATTCTAGGGGTAATATACTTAAAATTATGTGCACTAATGGTCCTCAAATTAGACTGGAAGAAAACTTAGATCATCTACTTCTACTAATTTAATAGATGGGTAAATTGGCATTTTAAAGAATTTGTTAAAGGTTATATAATGACTGATTTGAGATCCTGAACTCATTTTACTTGGTTGGGTAAAATGTATCTGAAAGCATTGCTATTTTGAATTAATTTTTAAGTTCATCTGGGTTGGAAAATTGAACTTACAAGTTGTCTAGACCCTGCTTTTCTAAAACACTAGTTTATTAAAGACTTAATTTTATGACAAGGATCAAGAAACCACCAAGATGGGGCTGGGGCTGGGGCTCAGTGATAGAGTGCTTACCTATCGAGTGTGAGGCACTGGATTTCACCCTCAGCACCAATTAAAATAAATAACTAAGTCACTAAATAAATAAGTTACAAAGGTATTGTGTCCATCTACAAAAAACAAACAGACCACCAAGATGGGTGAGCGAAAGAAGATGAACAGTGAGATAGTAAATAAACAGGAAAGGAGGAGTTAGCCTCAGAAAATAATGAGCCAGTCTAAGGAGGGACCAAAGTGCTCAAAATGGAGAGAATGGTTAATTTTATTTTATTTTATTTGGTGCTAGAGATTGAACCCAGGGCCTTGGGCATGCTAGGCAAGCACTTTACCAACTGAGCTATATCCCCAGCCCACTAGTTAGTTTTATTTCTATACTACTTTTTAACCTGTATAATCTGGGATACAAAGGACATGGATGTATGTTGAGACCCTAAGGGATCTCAGAAAGATCCAATTCATCTTTCTTATTTTACAGAGGAGCAAACAGAAGGTTTCCAGACACTCCACTGAATAATAATACTAGTCTATGATCTATGTTTATTTCTCTATACTGTTTATAGGTTCATTGTAGGCTGGATTTAGCTCAATGGAAGGGTGTTTGCCTGCCTGGGTTCAATCCCCAACACTACAATAGAAAAATAATTTTATTCTGTTGTTCATTTACTAACTTCCTGATAAATCTAAAGGGCTCTTTAAGCTGCATTCCACACATTTTTAAAGTGCAGTATTTCTGTTACTGTTCAGTCTTTAGTAATTTATTTTACATTTTGTTTTCTTTTTCACATGGGTTATGTAAAAACACATTTATGGGCTGGAGTTGTGGCTCTTTGGTAGAGCACTTGCCTAGCATGCATGAGTTCAATTCTCAGCGCCACATATAAGCAATTAAATGAATAAAGGTCCATCAATAACTAATAAAAATATTTAAAAAAATAAAAGCACATTTATGAATGTCTAGTAAAGTGTTTTTCTTGGGTTTTCTGTTATTATTTACTTTTGGGGGGGGATTCTAATTCTTCGATGTTGTTGAACGGTATCTTCATGATACTAGACCTTTGAAATTTGTTGGGATTTGTTTCATGATGAAGCAGATGGGCAAGTTTTGAAATTGTTCCATATGTTCTGAAGTATAATGTGCTTTTGGTATTATTCTTCATGTTTGCTAAGTAAATCTGTCATTTTATGCATAACTTTTTGCATAACTCTGGCTCCAAACCAAACTTCTATATCCTTACTGTTTTTCTTTTAAACCTGTCAATTACTGAGAGAAATGTTAAAATCATCCACTATGTTGATGAACTTGATATTTTCCATTTATATAATATCAGATGTTTTAAAGGATGTTATTAGCTGCGTACAGGTTTAGAATTGTTGTGTCTCTTTATAACTGTCTTTAATAATGCCTTTAAATCTGTTGTTTTCTAGTATTAATGTTTTCCTCATAAAGTTTTTTTCTATCCTTTTCCTCTCAGTTTTTGTTTTAGAAATCTCCTTCAAATAGATTATTGTTGGACTTTTTTCTCCCTAATCTAGTCTACCTTTGACCTTTTACTTTTGTGTTTAACTATGTTTATTAAAATTACTGATACATTTGTATTGCTACCATCATGTTTTCTTGCAGTTTTCCTTATTTCACTTTCATTAAGGTTTTCTTTTTTTCCTTCTACTAGTTTTAAAATTCAATACTCTATAATCTTTTCTGATTATCCTAAATATGTTAATGTAAATATTTAAGTTATCAAAGTTCTAAATTAATATTTTTCTCCTTCTCTCTCTATATAAGGGATTTAGAACACTTAGGCAAAATAAATTTTAATGTTTGCTAATCTGATTTATTTTATCACAGATTTTTTTGCACTTGCATAAATAAACCCATGAATTCAAGAAAAAGTAGTTTCTAATTAATGTTACTTAAGTCACATGAGAGCTTTCTGATTAATAACTTTTACTTAGATGTTTCTTTAAAAAAGATTTTTATCATTAGTTTACATCATTTCAGTAGTCCAGAAAGTCTCACTGAATATTGGTAGCACTGCCCTACATGAAGTGGGGAAAAGGTAAACTTTTCAACTAATGTTGAAAGACTTGGGGAATTTGCTGGATCCTTATATTAGGAATCAAATTGATGCAAAAGGATGAAAATGGAGCTATCAAGACCCTCTTAAAACACATTAGTATTATCTATAAATCTGAAATGTTTTGTGATAAAATCAGTATGGTCACCTATTCATTCTTTATATGTAGGTATTTATATAAATATACTAAAATTGGAACAATACAGAGAAGATTAGCATGGCTCCTGTGCAAGGTTGATATGCAAATTTGTGAAATGACCCATGTTTTTGGAATTGGAGAACATAAATGTTAAGTGAAAGAAGCCAGATTTAGAAAGTCAAAAGTCATATGTTTTCTCCCATATGTGGAAACTAGAGAGAAAAAGGATCTCATAAAAATAGAAGGGAAGGGCTGGGATTGTGGCTTAGCAGTAGAACACTTGCCTAGCATATGCAAGGCCCTGGGTTCGATCCTCAGCACCACATAAAAATAAATAAAATATATTGTTTCCAACTACAACTAAAAAATAAATATTAAAAAAATAAGGGAAACCAGAAGAGGAAGAAGACTAGGGAGAAAGATGGGAGAGAAAGGGGAGATGCTTGAGGAATTATATTGACCAATTATGGTATGTGCATATACAGATATATCACAATGGATCCCACTATTATGTGTAATTATAACACATAAATAAAAAATTAAAATGAATTCCTTAAAGAAAATACCAGAATTTTTTCATTTCACATTCATACCAGTTTCATTTCCTCAATTTAAAACTAAGGAAATTGAAGTGCAGACAAAATAAATGATTTCATAACAAAAGTTATGGAATGGATGTTGGATCAGAAAACAACTTGACTATTCAGCTTGATGATCTCTGTTTTGAGTAATTGCATCAAAAGACAAGTGTCAAGATTTGTCTATAAGGGTGAGAGACATTGTTCAGAGGTGAAATGATTGGATATGAGAACTATAACATAATCAGGTTAATTCATCTGATGGATTAACAAAAGGACTACTATACTGGATGCTAACCATGGACAGGTGTGGCTGGAGAAGGTCTGTCACTGGAGGCATGCTCTTGGGAATTCATATTTTGTCCCTGGCTCCTTGCTCACCCTGTCTTCTGTCTGCCATGAGCTGAGCAGGTTTCCTCCACCATGCCCTCCTGCCATGATGCTCTACCTCACCTCAGGCCTAGAGCAATGGACTCAGCAGACCATGGACTAAACCTCTGAAACTGGGAGCCAAAATAAACTTTTCCTCCTCTAAGTTGTTCTTGTCAGGTATTTTGGTCACAGAGATAAAAAGCTAACACAATAATACCAGGGCCATACTATTTGTCACAACTCCCTAAGCAGTTCTAAGTCTGTGTCAAAGATGTCAAGGGAATGAAGTTTGGATGACTTTTCTAAGTTTTTACCCTACTACACCTCCAGTCCCAATCAGAAACCTAAGACAGTCTCATTGGTGATGTAGGAAGCAGATCCTTCTAAACGTGCTGCCTGTGATGCATCAGTGCAAAGATCCTGTGAAGATGGAAGAGAATACAGAATCTTAAGTAATTGCTCCAAAGTCCTCTAGCAAGTATTCTGAAAGGAACTAACAGGTATTCTCAAAAAGAAGGCTGGAATCCACTGGAGTTCATGTTACATCCTGGCTGGATGAGGTGCCTTTCTAGAAGGTGGCCCTCGCCAATAAAGCAACCGCTCAGCAGTCTGCTGGGTCCTCTAGTTCATCCACTTCCTTGGCTGGTGAGTCAGGAATAGATGGGCACCTCCGTGTGAGAGCTTAGGAATGATTTCCAACCCTGCCAGCCAGTTCATAGTTATTACTTACTTCTGCTCACTCCTCTGCTAAAACAGGGATTCTTCTTTTTAACTTATATTTTGCTATCATTTAAATGTCCATTACCCCAGGGCTGGGAATTGTTTTTCACCCAAAATAATATTTTTCCTTATTTCTAAAACTTTGTTTCTACCATGGGAGACTTTGTGACCCAAGTCTTTGTTCATGCCTAATGCTCTTTCTACTCTCTTGGATAAGACATGACTGTCCCCACCTCCATACCCTGACCAGCACCCTTCCTGGAAGGCTGGTTGTCACACCCACTACAGGTATAGCTACACTTTAAGCATCTGTGTGATTTATGGGAGGCCCTTCCCAATTCTCCCCTGCTGAGTGAAAATAGATTTTTATTAAAAAGCAATAGCAGAGACTGGGGTTGTGGCTCAGTGGTAGAGCGCTTGGCTAGCATGTGAGAGGCACTGGGTTCAATTCTCAGCACCACATATAAATAAATAAAATAAACATCCATCAACAACTAAGAAAAAATTTTTAAAAAGTGATGGCAGAATGTATCTTAGCTGGTACAGCCTGATCCAGCTAACTGGGATGAACAGGTAAGGAGCATCAGGTTTATTTCTAAGTTCAAGCTCTGTAAAAGGCCAATTATTTATGCTAGCAAATACTAGCCTAAGTACTAGAATTTTTTACCTAATTCTTCAAAGCAGGGTAAAGGGGCTTTCTGCTGGGTAGGGAGGGCCTCTTCTAGTGACAGTGAGGGCACTGGGTCTGAAATTCAGACTCCAAGATGATTGCGGTGTCTCTCAGGAGATGTACCCTCTGGGCAAGTCACGAGCTTCACCTGAGCTTCTGTTTCAATTACAGGATGAAAAAGTTTGGACTAGCTCTGAGGGACACCATTCTAGCTCTATCTAATATTTTCTGCTTCTGCAAAGAGAAATTAGAGTCTACCGACATTATTTGTCCATCAAGTCCCTGAAATTTTTGGAATGCTTAAATATTTTAACAAAATGATACAAAGACAACCTTATATATAAATAATATTCTTACTGCTAGAAGAGAGTATATTTTTAATGGTGTCCCACTTTTTTAAGAACAACTTTAATGGCTGCTGTGTAATCATTTTTACATGTTTTATTAAGCTTTGATTTAAAAAATGCAAGAGAAGAATGTAACACTTCAGCAAATGCTTGAAGATAAAACAAATATCACTATAAATATTGCACTTATAAAATCTTTTCTGTATCCTCATACAACTCAATTCTCAATTATCCTTTTACAGAGATGCATAAACAAACTGCTCCAAGCTGTCAATGCTTGATGCCCGTAGCTTCCTGTCACCGCACCAAGTTGGCAGGTTCTCAGATCTCTGCTTCCTGGTGCAGGCTCTGAACTCCCAGCAGCAGCTTCGGAGGCCTCACACCTACATCATGTGAAGAGTCAGTCAGTCCAATCTTTCAGAATGCTCGATTAAATGTATGGCCGTGTGTGTGTGTGTGTGTGTGTGTGTGTGTGTGTGTGTGTTTGCTACTTAGGGAAAACAGATCTTTCAAAGGCAACGACAGAGTGCAGTTTAAGTAGATGCAGTTCACTGTTAACATTGCTTGTTTTTTAAGGCATTCAGAAGCTTCTGATTCTTGGTCTTGAACATCATGATAAAGCTGTTTGGCATGATTTTGCCTCGCCCATCTTCGCCCACTTGGCCCATAATAATGTAATTTAGACCTAAAGGAAAAAAAATATACAAATAAATAGTTTTCCTTAAATGTGTTCTTAGTCTAAATTTAGACTAAAACTTACCTCTGGATAAAGTTCTTTCCTGTACATGATACACCTTTATTACCTTCTAGGATAAAATCTGGCTTAATACTCTCATTAGCAAAAGTCTAGATTCAATAGTAATATCTTCCAGCTCTGCTAAAACAAGGACCCTGTATGAAACAGTGAGACCCAGTCATCTTCCACCCTGTGGTGCTGCAGGTCTGGTTAGTTCCCTGATACCCACTATGAATGATATACTATTAACATGAAAGCTTCCTCTTTCTCAAGGGGCCTCGAATGTTTCTTGATGGGTCTTCTTCAGATGGCCTCTCATAGTCCCATAATGTGTCTGTCTGGATTTCTCTGGCAACTGGCAACTAGTGATCCACTCTCTTCTGTTGGGGTCAAACATGAATCTGCCATGTCAACTTCTTGAGGGCACAGATGATTCACATGCTTCTTGCATTCAGACAGTGCCTTGCAAAAAAAATAGGTACTAAAAAGTGCTATTATTTGTGATCCTATTTTTTAATACATTGATGAGTTTGGCTCAGTTAAGTCGAGACTGGGGCTCAGCTGAGGTGCTTCCGCTGACCTCTAACGATTTATAGTGCTATGGAAAAGTGTCATCAGGAGGGGCCGATTCCCTCCTTCTTTTATTCCACTCTTGTCCCCTATATATCAAAAGAGAAATATAAGGCTGAGGCAGGAGGATTTCAAGTTCAAAGCCAGCCTCAGTGAGATGCTATGCAACTCAGTGAGACTCTGTCTTTAAATAAAATACAAAGTGGGGCTGGGGATGTGGCTCAGTGGTCCAGTACCCCTGAGTTCAATTCCTGGTACAAAAAAAAAAAGAAAAGAAAAGAAAAGAAAGAAAAAAGAAAAAGAGAGAAAGAAAGAAAAAGAAAAAGAAAGAAAAAAGAGAAATATATAACTTTGTAGGCTGGGCAGGTGGATGCCACCTCGAGGCTAGACTGCCAGCAGCATTAGGAGACCATAAAGAAGCTACTGTGCATTATCTGCACATTACTTGTGCATTAGGCAGTTCTGGCAAGAAATATTCTTTACAGAGCCTTTGCTGTTTTTTTCTGCAGATGTCAACTCAACACGGGGCTGCCAGCCTCCTGCCTCTTCTGAACCATCTGAACACAGAATGAGGCTTACCTGAAGTGAATATTGTAGGGGGGGGCGGAGGCACAGCACTGAGGGGTGGTTTAATTGTGGTAGAAGTATGTGACAAGACTAAAGGAAAGGACTTAGCTAGGATTGGACTCAGAAATCATGGTATGTCACAGTACATACCAGACGTTATCACCACTCCAAGGAAAGAGCTCTCTGCACAGTTATGCAAAGATACTATGGAAGTTTCTTGAGAGTAGATGGTTTACATGCTTGCACTGATATAGTCCCTTGCAAAAAAAAATAGATATTAAAAAGTACTTAAGGAAGTACTATTTGTTATACTATTTTTTTTTATACATTGGTGTGGCTGGCTAATACAGGTCTAGACTAAGGCCATTCCCTTTCTGTGGGGAAAAGTTGCAGTAGAAAATGTACATAGGATGTCATTCATCTAAGCATGGGGGCCCATGCTTTATATGGATAAAGCTTTCTGTGAGGAAATTTTTATAGTACCTCTGGGGAAAAGGGAGGGGTCTCACTTTTATCTTACACCCCTATTTATTTTTTAAAAATTCTAAACTGTGAAACATATTATTTATA